CCCACCACCACGCCCCCCAAATCGCGCCCCCAGCCGGTCAACAATCCCCTAGAACAGATGCTTGGAAGATCCACCCCTGAGCCGCTGAACAATCGACGCGGCGCTGCTCTCACCGGCCCGGATGGCACCCTTGCCAAGGAGGACCTTGCGCCGGTGGTTGCCTCCCTCGAAGAGCGAATTGCTTTGCTCGAGCAGGAACTCCAGGCCCGCAACCCTTCGAGCAATCTCGGGGCGCCATCGGCGCCTGGCGCCACGCCGCCAACTTCGGCCGCCAGCCCGCCATCCATGGCTCAGGCAGGCGACCCTTCCGTTGACGCTCCCCCGGCCAAGGCCCCTGGCTCGGGGAGTATGATCGTTGACCTGCTTTTAGCCGGGGCCCGAATCTTGAGCGAGGCACTGCGCCCTGCTGTGGAGTCGGTGGCCACCAAAATGCTTGACCGGCTTAATGCCGACAGGTTGCCCTTGGAACCCCCAGCGGGTGGGGATGCCCCGCTGGCGGTCGAGCCGCCGGAGATTGTGGCCCCTCCGGCCGAGCCGCCGCTCATCGTTCTTGTCGAGGCGGTTGAGCCCCCGGCCGAAGCACCGGAGGATCTCCTCCGTTCGAGTGTCCCTCCGCCGGCGGCCTCCCCGCCGGGCCCGGTGATGCCGGTCGAGCCTGCGGTCCCGGCGCGGCCTCTGGCAGGCCGCATTGTTCCCCCCTCCGCAACCCCTGACAGCTCGCCCGTCCGTGGGTCCCCCCTGGAGCGGAGCTGATCCGAGATCGCCGGCTCTTTGCTGCATCCCCCTCCCTTCCTTTGCTCATAGATATCTTCCCCGCCTTTTCCCGTGCCTGAGGGCGCCTTCTCCCCCCACGCACAGACCCACATAGACACACGCGGACTTGCTCCCAAACACGTGCACTGCAACTGGATGGGCCAAGTCCCTCCTTGTCCGCAAGAGAGCTCGCAAGGTCTCTCTCCGGCTGCTTCAAGTGCTTGCGAGTTCGCGTGCGTGCCCTGTGTGCCCTGTGTGCCTTGTGTGCTTTGTGTGCCTTGTGTGCTTTGTGTGCTTTGTGTGCTTTGTGTGCTTTGTGTACTTTGTCTGCTTTTTGCGCGTATATGTATCTGCCAACCACCTGGTCAATTGAGGGCAGGCTAATGGTAAAGGCCCTGCGGAGTCAGGAGTGTCCTCCTCCCTTCTCCGGCCCTCCCCCTGGCTCGATTGTCCTTCTCGCGCAGTCTTACCGGGACATGAGGGGCAAAGAAGGAAGCCTGTGTGTATGTGCACGCACAGAGCCATCTCCTATGCAGGGTGCCCTCGACAATGGTCGCTCAAATGGCCCTGGGTCCGGTGGCGAGGGGGAAGCGATAAAGGGCAAGAGGCGGGGTGGAGGGGGGAGGGGGGGGGCGAAGGACAGAGACAACAGCACACTACGAAATACCCTGCCAAGTGACGCACGAGAAGAGACAACGGGCGGAAAAGCGCCACCATGAAAGCCGGCCTTGCCTTCCCACCCACCCCACCCGGCCACCGGTCAGAACGCCAGTCCATCCCCCCCGTCGATGACGCTCGACCGGCATGCACACCCCCTTCCGACCAAGTGCCAAGCACATCAAGCACGATTGCACTGGTGACACAGCGGGAGAGCGAGAAAGTGTGTGGGTGTGTATGTACGCTTGCGGATGTGTGGGTGTATACACGGCCGAGGTGTGTGTTTGTGTGTGCGTGTGCGTGTGCGTGTGCGCGTGCGTGTGCGTGTGCGTGTGCGTGTGCGTGTGCGCCTGTGTGCGTCCTCTGCGTGCGCCGATCAACTGGCGCCTTTCCACTTGTGTGCGTGATCACTCGGCCGAGGTGGCCATGGCCTGGCCGGAGCTAACGCGCTCGAGCAGCGCCTCGCCGGTGCTGCCGTAATCCCGCCAGTAGGTGCTCTCCGGCTCTAGGACCGTCAGGCCGGCGGCCTCCACACGCCGGCGGAACTCCTTGCGCGCGTGGGTGTACAGGATGTGGTCGATGCTGTCGGTCTCGAGGATGCTGCGCTCGGCCTCCACTGGCAGGCGGGCGGTGCGATCGTAGGCCGGGTTGGTGCGAACCGAGGCGAAGTCCGAGTCGATGGGGATCTGGCCCATCTGCAGGAAGAACATGCAGATGGAGGTGTTGTAGTGCTCGGTCAGCCCGAGGAAGAACAGCTGATCGATGTTGGCCCGGGCTTTGTTGACATCCTCGGTGGTAAGGCGCTTGCGAGCGGCGCAACGCTGGCCGAGAAGCATCTTGGTCTGGCAGCCGCGAACGCCCGGATAGCGGGCATACTGCTCGACGGTGGTGGTCGACTGGGCGGCGATCTTATCGGCATCCTCGGCGCCGTCCATATGGCGGCCATGGTGGAAGGCACTGCGCAGGCGGCCGAGCGGGTGCCGCAGCAGGCTCATGGTCCAGCGGCTGGGGTCCGGCGTGAAGCCGGTGTGACCGTAGCAGCCCACCAGCTGGCCATCGCAGTTGACATTGCCCTCGACCACGGAGGCCGGATCGCCCCAGCAGCCGCGGCCCGGCGGGCCGCAATCCAACGCCCGGCGCAGGGGCACCGTGAAGGCGGTGCCGGCCGACTTGGGCACATGGATGAAGTGCAGCTTCTCCGGCGCCTTGAGGGCCTTGGCCGAGCCGGGGCGCGGCATGCAGGACCGGCAGTTCTCCACCCAGACCTCATCCTCATGGCACTCGCGCTGGCCGCCGCCCGAGGGGGGGATCAGCTGCTCGTCGTCATACTCGTCCTCGGGCTCGGCGGCCACGGTGGCTGCCGGGGCCGGGGTGTCGCTGGTGGTCGGCGGGGCGGCGGTGGCCGTCGGCTCGGAGGTCGGCGGCGGCGTCGGTGGCGGGGCAGCCGTCACAGTGGGTGCCTCGGTGGCGGCGGCGGCGGCGGCGGCAGCCGCCTGCTGGGCCAAAAGCTCGGCCTCCTGCTGGGCCAGGAGCTGCTGCTGCTGCTGCTGCTCCTGCAGTTGGCGCTCTTCCTCCTGCTGCTTCTGCAGGGCCAGCATCCGCTGGTGCTCGGCGGCGGCCTGCATGTCGGACTGCTTGACATAGTGGCTGGACCGGACATACGGATCGGTGGCAATGCGCTCGAGGTCATCGCCCGAGTAGCTGGGCGGGGTGTAGGCTGGCGGCTGGGACCGCTGGGATTGGACGCTAAAGCCGCCGGGGGCCCCGGCGCCGCCCATCTGCTGGAACGAGGCGCCGGGATACGCCGGCGGGGGTGGCTGCTGGTGCTGCTGCTGCTGGGGAACCATGTAGCGGCCCTCGGTGTTCATGCCGCCATACCGGTCATAGCCACCGCCGTAGGTGCTGTAGAATTGGCTGTTGCCGCCGGCGTTGCCGGTCATGGCGGAAATCCAGGCATTGCGCCGGCCCCAGACAATGGCCACGGCGCACACGCCGGCAATCAGGACCGCCACCCAGCGGACCAGGCCCCGGTGCCAGCGGAGCTGGAGTTTGGGCGGTGGCGGGGCCGCTGGAGCCGAAGCGTGGCGGCTCCGCCCCGACGGCCCGGGCAAGTGCGTGGACGAGCTGGGCGCCATGCTGCTGCTGCTGCTGCTGCTGCTGCTGCTGCCAAGGGAAGATGAGAAGTATTGGGATTGGTGGTGGTGATGCGGATGAAGGGGATGCGATGCGGGCCTTGCCATGTTCCGCTCGACGGGGGTGTTCTACTGCGCAGGGAGGGAGGCAACGAAAGGGAGGCAGAGGCTCCGGCTTGGGAACGGGTGAGGGTGAATGGGCGAGGGGAAGGGGTGGCGGGGGGGGGGGGAGGGGCCTCGGGATGCCGACGGGTCTTCCTCGGCGGCGGACAACGTGTCAGCCTGGCGGAGGGTCCGTCAGCGCGCCGGACCGGGAAAGGGAGAGAATGGGCGAGGGGAAGGGGTGGCGGGGGGGGGGGGAGGGGCCTCGGGATGCCGACGGGTCTTCCTCGGCGGCGGACAACGTGTCAGCCTGGCGGAGGGTCCGTCAGCGCGCCGGACCGGGTGTGTGGTCATCGAAGGAGGGGATGTCAGTGGAGGGCCGGGGCGTGGGGGGGGGGGAGTAAATCGGAAGGGGCGAGCAATACAAGCATGCAGCATGGCCCTGGGCAGGGCGGCATATGGCAGGGGGCTAGCATCCGGGGCCAGCCGAAGGGGACCGGGCCGGATACTGAGCACGGGCCAATGCCGGCACAGCAATTCCCTCACCGCTGCGGAGGGGGAAGTTCAGAGGAGGGGAGATGAAGGGGCTTACGGCTGATGAGAGGCGACAATGCGACGAAAGGCAGGGAGGTCGGTGCGGGGCAGTAGGGTGGGACGCACACCTCGGTGCTCCCTCATGAGGACCGATCAGGGAGGGCCCAATCAGGGCAGGGTCGATCAAGCAGGCCCGGGCCACAAGCCTGACTGCTCCGGAAGCGGGGCCCGGCCCGGGTATTCCCCTCCTTACGCACACCGAATCATACAAGACACACACACACACACACACACACACGCTCGGGCTCCCCCATATCCCCGCCCCCTCCTGCGGACCGCCAGTACTACCTCTGCTCCTCTGCCCTGCGTCGTCCGGAATCCGTGCCCCAGCCTTCCCGGAGGCCCCTTTCTTCCTGGGAGACTTGGAAATAGGGGATATCCCACAACGAAAGGAATCAGCCCCCCCCTCCCCCCCCCCCCCCCCGATGTCAGCCGCCAAGGCTGTGGCCGGCAACTCACCACTCCGCTGGCCCCTCCCCGAGGGATGCGACGGCCCTCGGTGCTGCTCCTCGATGGCAGGCTACCTTTAAGAACATGCTGCTTGGGGGTGCCCCATTGTCAGCCCCGTAGCCCGCTGGACTGGGCAGGCGAGGCACTTGAAACAGGAGGCCCACCGCTCGGACCGTCAGAGGCGCATCCAGCCTGCCGCCTGCGGGTCCCGGATATTGTCCGACGCATCACACTCGGAGGCCGGGCCCAGAGCGGGCCCCCAGGCACGAGCAAGAGACAGGACACTCGTGAACGCCCGGAGCGGCAGCCGCCGCCGCCGCCGCCGCCGCCGCCGCCGCCGCCGCCGCCGCCACCACCCCCGGCGCTGGTGCCGCCATCGCTGCCACCTCGAAGCACTCATGCTCCGGTCGAAGGCCACACGCCCTCAATGTGGGACGATTAAGATCCTCCCGACGATAGGGCAATATGACAGCCCACAATCGTTCCTGGCCGCCCCGATAGACGGATATATTGGCCGGTCGCGGGCCATTTTCGAGGCCGGAAGGTCCCGACGAACGGCCACACAGGGCTGGCCGGCCGATAGGTGAGCCCCCGGGTAGGTGGCTCGCCCCCGTGTTCGGAGCCCGGTGCCCCCCCCCCCCCCCCCCCACCCCGCCCCGTCCCCTTGCGCCCCTCGTTCGGGGGCGATCATCCGGCAGACGGGGCACGGGCAGGGGGGCAACCTCAGCTCGGCCCCCGGAGGTGGGGCACGAGCATGGGGATGCGCGACGCAACAGCCAGTGACGGACGGGAGGCTGGCCATTGTTTGCGGGGACCCTTATGGGTGCCCCTATCCCGAGAGGGTGTGTGTGAATGGGTGTGGGTGTCTGGCGCGCGCGGGACTCTTCTCATGCCGATGTCCGGGCCTGGGCGTGTTGGACCATGTCACAGGGGCCCCCTCGCGCCCCTTTGTTCACCGGCGCCGTGGCGCCTGCAGCCGAGGCAGGGGGGGCACCACTCAGAAGCACCGGCGCACAGAGAGACAAACATACACGACGACCCATGGACAAGCACGCACAAGTGCCCACATGCGCAGGCATACAACAGAAGAGGCACTGTGGCATGGCGGCACGCCCGGTGGCAGCCTTCAGGAGTGCAGGGGATAGCTTGCACAATCCCTGGCGACGGGGAGGAAGGTCTGACAGACGGCCAGACGAGGCAGCCCGCCGGCAGACCGGGCACAACACTGTCACCAACAGCTGATGCGCCTCGCGCCGGGCGGCCCCCAGAGAGACCCGCACCGGTCCAAGGGCCCACCCCGCCAGGGCAGGCCTTTTCCCACATATCCCGCTCGGGGCCCCCAAGCGCCGGGAGAAATTAATATCCCCCGCTTTAATTGGCCCGCCCGGCGGCCCGGCCGGGCGCGGAGCCCCCCCCCCCCCAGATTCCGAGGACCGAGCAGGGACACCCGCCACCCACACCACCCGGGAAGGATGCCCTTCCCCCCGCCCCTCCTATGATGGCGCAGCCCTGGCAGAATGAGTCCCGACATCGGTCCTGGCCTCGGTCATTTGGAGGGTGCCTGATCGTGCTTCATGTGGATATGTATGGCACCGGCTGGGCCCATCCAGCCCTGTCCCTGCGGGAGGCGTCCCTCCGGGTGGGGTCGGCCGGGGGACCGGGCCGCCCAGTCCGACAAATAGACTCGTCCCGGCGCCGGGTGGCGCCAAGAGTGGCGTCCTCGGCATGCACATGGTGTGTCGCCCCCTCGGGTGCTAATCGTCGCGCCATTTGGAGAGCATCCAGTCTCCAGGGTGGTACCACGGTCGCCCGCATTGTGGACCGGCGGGGG